GGACCTCCGAGAGGCCTCCGGCAGCAGCACCGAAGCCCTTGGAGGCCTCCAGCAGCAGCGATGGCGGCGGCGGGGGACCCCTGGAAGGCTTTGGAATGGTAAGGTTTAATTTTTTACATTTATTTTAATTTTGTGGGGGAGGTTCTTGGCCAGGTTACGGATTACAGGGTTTTCAATGCATTCCTATGGGAAATGCATTTTCGACCTACGGACTTTATGACCTACGGACACCGTTCCAATACGGATTAATTCCGTAGGTCAAGGGTCCACTGTAGTTCTAATCAATTTCCAACATCCTTAGGTTAAAAAGAGTTTGAATTCAGCACAACCACAGCTGGCTTAATAACAGGTACTTAGGATTGTGTACTTAGATCAAAAAACTGCTATCAGATTTGTTACTGTAAAAAAAAGACAGATATCAGTCAAAGAAACGATAAAACAAAGTATCTATGCCAAAAACAAGATGTAGATAAATGAAGCTATTGTTTCTCTATTACTCAGAACAAAAATGTAGATACACAGTTTGATATCAGGCACTCACTTTGTTTCATGTAATGTTCTTTTCCTAAAGCGCAAAGGTGCTGTCCTTAATCCTGGAAGAATAGAATCTGTCCCATATGTATCACCATTTACATTTTGCTCTGGGTCACTTATCACAGCTCTGACTCAAAAAATTAAAAAAAAGATACATGGAAATAATATTATACAATTAAAATCTATAGTACAATTTTTAAAAAATTCTAGACCTCCTCATCCTAATGGATCCAGGATGGAATACAATCACACACAATGAAAACAATATATTGTCATCTGCCATTTAACATAAAACTGAGACAACAAAATCATAACTTTCCAGATGGAAGCAATAAAACCAATTTAAGATGCCCTAATAAATTAGTATGCCTTGACTGGTTGAAGAAAATATTATGTCAGTGCCAGTTGGACTTTCCTAGCACTTCCTATTTACTGGCAATTAAGAATATAATATGAATTAAGAATCATATTAATCCATTTTCCAAACTGGGTGACATAATCTAGCCCCAGCTGTGAAGACACTCCACACCATCCCAGAGGATCACAGAGTGTTTTCGGGATGGTGGTGGTCAAGGGTTGTCTTGTATGTGTAGTAGCCCTTCTTAAATAATTTCTTCCTTGACCTTTCAGAGCAGGATATTAAAGTTAATGTACATATGTATGTATGAGAAACAGGTCAATTAGGGGAGAAAGAAGATTCTACTTTCTGAGATGACTGTTGTTGTTATTTAGTCGTTAAGATTCTTTGTGTGACCCCATGATGACTTTAGGCCCAAGAAAAATGCCATTTTATGCAAATGTGGGGGTCAGGGGGTCACAGGTTACTTGATTATTATAAAAAAGGATTGCAACTCAAAAAAGGTTGGGAACCACTGCTCTACACAGAACCACAGAGGCTACTGTACAAGAGATGCCTGATGAGCCCAGGTAAGTGGGTGAGGGACAGAACAAACCCACCAGGCATATGCCTCTCTTTCTCATCCTTCACGCTGCTCAGCAGAAAATTCCAGACAGAATTATTCTCATGTGGATTCCTTCAAAGACATAGTCTTTTCATGCACCAAGAACAACATTTGTTCTGGGATTTTGAGGGTCAGAACACATTAAGGAAAACACATATTTCTGCCTTTTGTAACAGTATCCCCTGCGACACAGAAAACTTTCACAGCTACAGTCTGAAACATCAGACATGGAAATCAAAATATCTCTCAACTGACCAACTACAGAACAAAATCAGACTAATTTGCCAAAAGCAAATTAAAGCAAGTTTGTATTAGAATAAATGGAAAGTATTTTCCTTTTGAGGGAGCTCTTCTTCTAATCACATGCAATTCATTGTTTGACAGGGAGAGGAAAGGCACAACTGGGAAAGGAGAATTTTGCCAGCCACTTCTTCTAGTCTAGGGATGTTACAAATTACTTAGGACTACCCTCAGTTTTAGCTAACTTTGTGCTGTCATAATGTAGTGTTCTTAGGCTGCAAGAAATTTGGATTTGACACAATCCAGCTCTTCCCACACACCACTACCTTGCCATCCCTGTTTCAGCTCCTTTGCTGGCACTATATTAGCTGTGCCAGCAGATCCTTCTGATAGCAGATCTCTTAAGGTCAGCTTCCACAAAGGGGATCTCGCAGTTGTACTGCCACAAAAGGCTTCTGTCCACTGGAAACCAACTACAGTCAGTGCATCTCCAAGTTATGATTGCATTGCCTAACATTATTAATATCCCAGGGTAGAAGGAAGAAAGCATACATCTACATAACAATATTCTCTTATTTATTAATATCAACACTATTATGTATTAATTCACCTAGATAACTGGTCTATCATCACTTGTTCCACTACAGTTTGTTTTTTTCTCTCTGCTGCTACATCTTCCTGCAAAGCAATAATTGAACAAAGCAAATATAATTTAAGCAGTTCAGCAAATATTGTTAACTATGAAACACAGAATAAAGGTTTAGAATATAGGCCCATTTGAAACTTTCAGTGATAAAACAGTGAATTTTTATAACTTCATAAAACGCTTTCACAGAATAATAATTCTATCTGAGTCTAAGAAAAGTTTTATTGAACTGCATGAGAAAAAAGTAATATGAACATTTGTCATACAAGTAAACTTCATTCTAGTAGGCAAGGAAACAGTCACTCCCACTTTTGTTTCTTTCCGGAACCCCACAGAACAACAGCTTTATCTGACCTCTATGACTAATGTGATAACAACTTAATTTTAAATTTTCTAGCCGGTTCAGTTATCATTAATCACAGAGATGTTGAACAGTAAATGAAACCTGGTAATGCTTAGTCCAGGACTTTGAGGAATAATTAGACCTCTTTTTGTTCTTCCTCTCCAGCCTGAGGTTGGATGTCAGCATGGCGGATTCTGGATTCAGCAACTCCAAACAAAGGTGTAGTGTTGCATCCAAACCCGACCCCCAGGCTCTTCCACTAGTAAGTTCTTCTCTCTTTTATTTTACATTGATTAGCCAATTATAATGAATTTTATTTTACATTTCAATTACATGACCAAAAGATCCTAGTTTCCTCTACGTTTTATCTGTTTTACAATTTTGTTGGTCTTTACTAATAAGTTTTAGTACTTTTTTGTATGTCCCTCTTTTGATTTGAAAAACTCCTAGCATCTTTGGATTCAAGTAACATAGTAACACATTTTTAAAAGTCAATATTTATTTAAATGTAAATGTAGAATTAAAACAAAAGCAATTCCAGTAGCAATGTCACATCACTTACATGGATTACAAAAATTACTATCTATGCACTTACACTACAGTAACAGTATGAATGGAAGCTGAGTCTACAGTTTAGTGCAGTGGGTTCTTAAACTTTGTTACTCAGGTGTTTTTGAACTGCAACTCCCAGAAACCCCAGCCAGCACAGCTGATGGTGAAGGCTTCTGGGAGTTGCAGTCCAAAAACATCTGAGTAGCAAAGGTTAAGAACCAATGTTTTAGTGTTAGTTGTCTAAAACAGAAGCACTGACCTAACTATATCATAACACTTACATATAACAATATATACCGACTTTTTGAACAATATACAGTAACATTTTCCTGAAAACTTACTGCTTCCAGTTTTCTTATGCTCTGTTGTACTGTGTAAGGGTCATTTGTATAGCATTGCTGCAGAAGTGCTTTCTCATCAAGAAGTGTCAGTTCATCATCTGTTTTATTTTCAGGCTCTAAATCCTGCACAGGAACATAACCTATTATCTAGATATGGTAACTGACCACCAGTAAAATACATCAGCAATTGAATTACATTTCATTTCTGTTTTGTCTATCACTATCCATGATGCACATGAAATAAGTGATGATTTCCAACATTTAAATGCAGAGGGAGAGAAATTCAGCAATATTTTTTTGTTAAATATCTAAATTCTGAAAGAGTAAGTAGCTAGATTTTGCCAGAATTAATAGATAAAGTGAAAACAGCGGAATAGGTACTATGGGAAAAGTTACAGTTGTTTTTAAAACTGCCTTGGAGGCTTTTTAAAAATAAAGGACAGGTAAATGCTTTTTTCTAAATCTATATGATATTTTCTTCAAACCTACTTCCTAACATTGGCCAAAATCTTGTTGCCTAGCACAGGAAATTGCACTAGAGTAGGCCCATTGAATCAATGGGGATTAGTGAACCAACTCCTCCATGCATTCTATTGATTCAAATGGGCCTACTCTAACTCCAGCTCACTTCAGCACAGTTAGGTTCCAGTTACCATAGGCCCATTTGTACCAATGGATTTTACAGAGGAGCTGGTTCACTAAATTTCCATGGATTTAATGAGCCTATTCAAGTGCAATTTAATATGGTTAGCAATAGGGTTTTGGCCACTATAGACCTTTTTTGCTGAATGACCTGGCAAGGCTCACAAAAATTCAAGCTTTGACTATTCCAAAGTGATTTCAAGGATCTATTAACTCAAATACAACAAATCTCTAAGTAGAATGCTTGGCTGTTTTAGGATGCAATCCTTAAACTGTAATCCCAGTCAAACTGTAATTTTCCAACGTTAGTTGACATCTCAAATAATGATACAGGTATGTAAAATACTGGGATAATACAAATGAACTTCAGAATGTTCACTGCTGTCTGTCCTTCCTCTTTAAGAAAGTTTTATTATGCACTTCCTTTCTGATGAAAATGATCCAACCATACATGTTGAATGCTCTGAATATAGTCTCAGGGACTAAACATGTTACTGAAAATCCAGCTCCATTGGGCCTAGGTAATAACTTTTGGCTACAATAACTTTGTAACCTACTGTACCTCCTAAAATTAACTTCTGTCTTAGTTCTGTCATGTTTCTATTTTCTTCTCCCCTCGTCATAACGAAAAATGGGCACATTTTGTCCAAGGCAACCGACAGACTTGAGCTACAGCCAGGCTTTTTTCCCCTCTCAGAATACATTATTACATATAATCTGGAGCTTTCAGCTAACCCATTTATCCTGCAAGTTTCAATTTTGTGACTTTGTCTATACTGCAAACCTCATGGCCTAATTTTTAGACTCTTCAATTTCCTCCTCTGTTTCTGTACCAATGCAGCTGATGAAACTCCAAGGGAGACCAACAGTTAGTTATTAAGAATAATTTGTCATCACAATCTGCACCATTTCACTTACACAAGTATGAACTAGCAACTAGTTTCTGGTTACAGTACAAGGAAAGAAATCTAGCCTCCAAATACAGTGGTGCCTCGCAAGACGATTTTAATTCGTTCCGTGGAAATCGCTGTCTTGCGAAAACATCGTCTTGCGAAACCCAGTTCCCCACTGAAATGCATTGAAATCTATTTAATGCATTTCAATGGGGGGAAAATCACTGTCTTGCGAAAATTGTCCATAGAAGATACAGTGGACCCTCTACTTAAGGAATTAATCCGTATTGGAATGGTGGCTGCAAGTCGAAAAGTCTGTAAGTCGAATCTCCACTGACCTACAATGCATTGAAAACCGATTAATCCCATAACCAGCGGTTTTTATTCTATTTTTATTCCATTTTGGTTTTTTTCTGGTCTGTAAGTCAATTCTCTGGCTGCAAGTCGAATCTAAATTTTGCAGCCAGAGAAGTCTGTAACTCGAAAAATCTGTAAGTCGAGCCGTCTGTAAGTCGAGGGTCCACTGTATCGTCTTGCAAAACACAGTTCCCCATACCATATTGGGGAAAAGCAATCCCTTCACCTGCACTGCCTTTGGAAATGCTGTGCGTCTCAGATGGTCATCCCCCTCTTTTTCTGTCTAACAAAGAAAGAGGGTGAAAGGAGTCAAAGCAGCCCCCTGGTTCCTGATAATGGTGATTCCTTTTGCCCTGATCCTTTACCACAGGGGAGAAAAGGAGGAAGAAAGCAATACAAGACATCACCAGGACTTGCTGCCTTTGCAATAGGTCCTGATGAGGAGAAAAAGAGATGAAAAGGAGTCTAGAAAAACCAGGGAAATCACAAGGGCAATCCCCCATTAACACAAATTATGCAGTTGAGTTCCCCACATTTGGGGAAATCATAGGGATCAGCAGCACACCCAAAGTGCAATGGATGAGCCTCCCCCTGGGAAAACCACTTTTATGACATGGTATTTCCTTTTATGACATGGTATGAGTTGGAATGGCCTTTTCACCTCCTACCATCTTCTGTCCCGATCCCCCAAGGCACGGTGACCCCCTGGCTGCACCTCCCACTCAGTACAGGGCTGCATAGCCCCAGTCCTGCCAGAGGCCAAGAGAGCTCCTCAGTGTTTTGGGGTGCCCTGCGGGAGCCCCATCAAGGGCTAGGTGTTCCTCCCACAATTCGCATAAGGTATTAGCATATGCTAATACCTGTACACTAGGAGATTGTGGGAGGAACACCTAGCCCCTGAAGGGATAAAAAAGTAGGTCTCATGTAATTAATGTGTGTTCCAATGGGGGGGAAACTGTCCTGCGAAACAGGGTCAAAAAAAAAATCTTGTGAGGCAAGGACCCAAACATTGTCCAGTGAAAATCGCCCATAGGAACAATCGTTTTGTGAAGCGTAACATCGCCTAAAAAAAGTCATCGTCTAGCGAATTCCTCATTTTGTGAGGTAATCGTCTAGTGAGGCACCACTGTAGTTGTCGTATATATATGCTGTCGTTCCAACAGCCCTAATCTTAACACTGTGATTTTAGGAAGAAAAGCTTAGTAGAGTTTCCATTTTCAGATTAAGTACATATACTACCTTCTTGTCATCTGTTTTTCCTAGAGGTTTGTGAGGATGATAGTTATTTGCTTTCTTTTCTGCAGCTCTTTGAGAATACTGTTTATATCCATCTTTCATTTCAGCTTCATACTGCTGATACTTCAGTTTGTATCTGTCTGTTGGTGGCGGCAGATTTTCAGGTATTATCTTTTCCTCTGAGAAAGCAAGCTAAAAGTGAACAATCAAAAGTGGTCACTGGTAAATTATATTACAGAACAATGGCCAGAATCCAGTTTGCTTCTGTGATCATATAAGGGTGATTTTAGTAAATGTTTCCCACCTCTCTCCTCCAGACTCACCTTCAGGCCCCCAATCTTGTACTGGCTGCAAAATCAGGTGTGTAACCAATTGAGTAACAGATTGCAGAAAGGGGAACCAGCAAGAGGGGGAAACTGCTTCATGACTGCCTTTACACTTTTCTGCAATTGGATTTTGCTTTAATTTGTGTCTAGAGAAAACAGTTTCTAGGAAAATTTCAGGCTAAATGTATCTGCAGAAAACAGAAAATATCTGGGGAGATTAATGCTCCATCAGAAGTTTAAAAATTACTATTTGATTTTGCACAAAATATTCTGATTTAATTATAACATAGACATTTAGATATCTGTCAACACCACAATCCATTCATTGTACCAATTAATAGATTCATGCAAACAGCAAGGAGTTTTCCACATGAACATTTTCAATATAGCAGTCCACACGTCAACTGCAAATCAGAAATAATCAATGTAGAAATATAAAGCAGCATAATTTTTTCCTAACAGTGGTATTTCTTCAGAATCTAAATCCTTTTTTTTAAAATATTGGCCAGAAGTAGATATATTTGTGACTTCAACACTTCAAATACAGAAAAGTTCTTTTTGGTATATAACATTACATGAAATATTAATCCAAATTCTATATGAAGGCGATACATTTATTAGGATCTTTTCCACACAAAAAGGCATAGAACTGTGCACAAGCTTTAGGGTCACTCCCCTCTTGTCAGATATTCTTCTACAAAAAACAAAGGGAAGTGAGACAGTTGAGGAAAGAGAAGAGTCAGAAAAGCAAAAATCATCCCCATCTGCTTTTGCCTCTTTACACTTTTCTTTTCCCCATCCTCCTTTTCTCTGTCTTTTGTAACATGTGTCAGGAAAAGAGATTGTGTCCTTGAAAATATAAAAACAATTCTCTGCTTTATTAAAAAAAATTGGCCTAATAAAGGCATCACGCTCATACAAAATATGGAATTTGGGCTTTGTTTATTTTTACCTCAGAGCTTCACATGAAATAAATACTTTGTTTCAAGTTTTGCTCAACTAGATTACCTCATATTTCTTCAAATCAGGGTTTCTTGCTGTCTAGACAATAGAAAGAGAATATCATCTTGAATCTCACATTTTAAAATATGTTATTTTATTTAACTGTGGTAACATAAGAGCAAACTGATTAAAGGGATGACGATCCAGACAAAGTTACATGAACTACTACAATGAACAGCATTTTGAAGTTTCATATGATATCTGCGTTGGACCAGATGTCATATTAAGAACACAGCGATTGTATATATTTAAGCACAATCTTTTGCATCTGTATTCAGAAGGAAGTCTCAATGAACTCAGCAGAGTTTGAGTCCAGATAAATATCGCAGGACTGCAAGCTAGAATGCCAGTCCTAAAACAATGGTCATTATCAAGAGCCAAATGTGTGCCAGAAACCCATTCTATACACATCACTGTCACAAACAAGCAAGAAAAGCATTAAAAAGAGGTAACACTGGGTAACAAATGTAACTAACTATCTGGATATTCTGCTGAAGCAAATGGGGCATTCAAAAACAGCCATACAGATGACAGACTCCTTTCTGTCTTTAAATAAGTGAAAGTAACAGTGTAAGTCTTATCCTGAAGAAACAACAAAAAGTGTTATGGTACTTTATAACCTAACAACATTTATCTAGTATAAGCTTTTACTTGATGATGTGGCCAGAATCCCACAAAATTTTATGTCAAACTCATTATGAGCAGCCACAGTTAAAATCTTTCAAAACTGCATGAGGATAGATGGTAAAAAATGGCAGAGGGGAGGTATAACAGTCTGAAGTTTTAGCTTTTTTCCCCATTAACAAATTTAATATGTTTTTTCTCAACAAGACAATATGCTGTTAAATATTTTCAACAGCTAGCCAACATACCTGTTGGATGTTACACCGCTGTGCACAGGGACTCTGTAATGGAGTACCCCAGCTGATAGTTGAAGATGACAGTAGAGGACCAGTATGAGACTGCCCAGCACTATATGGTGCATAGGTGTCTCCATCCTAAAATAAAAGAATATATCTTTTCTTTTTATGTCAAACCACTGTTCTGTTAAAGTATCGCAAATTATTAGTTGTTTAAGAATTTAGGAAGAAAGCTGATACCTGTCAGATACTGAAAACAGGACTACAGAGTGCTAAAAGAGATAAGGAAATAATCCAAAGATGATCTTAGACCAGCTATTTTGCTCTAACTTTTGCTGTGGTAAAAACACTGTCACATATCAGGGACATACTGTATAAATGATCATACAGATGGTAGAACAGTATTAACTACCCTAAGTGTCTTCTGAAATGGAGTTAATTTTCCCTTGATCTATTTCAGCTTAAAACTGAGAACAGAAACCTCAAGTTGTGTTACAGACTGACTAACTTGTGCCAGATTGAGTACTAGTAGTACACTTGCATATCTGTTGTGAAATTATGCTTTGAAGACACAAAGAAATGCTACAAGTCTAAAATAAGCAGTCTTTTTAAATAAAGCTGACATCATCAAGTAGCAATTCACTTGGAAATTACTGTCTATACCCTGCATCTGGCCTACATTTCTTTTTCCATATATATTCTCTGCTCTGCTTAGATTCAAGATAAATCTGTCTATGTGAATCCTGGATGATTCTGACCTTAACACCTTGCTTTAATATCCTCTCAGTGGGAACTCAAGGGCTCAGGGCCCCTTTAAGCTCCTTCACCTTCAGAATCCCCCATCAAAATCACTTTATTAGTACGACAATGATTTAAATTATACCAAATGTTACCTCATACCCATCTACTATAATTTTTGATAAAGAGGAATAAAATGCATACCAATGGCATACCAATAATGTTCTCCATAACAAAGGAATTAGTATAGTTATTTAAAACAATATTCTAACATTAAAAAAAAGAAAAGAGAGAAACCCAGCTGGAGCCCTAAATTCTTTTCATCAAATGACTCCTTTTCAGATCCCTCCTTCTACCATATTACTTTCTAACCCCCTAATTTTTTCCCAAAAAAAAAAATTCTGGAGAATTGGAGAATACTCTGGAAGATAAAGAAGTGTTCTACAGAGAACTGCAGCAGGCTGGGGAAATTACTCAAGACTGGGGTACCGTTAAGAATGGAAGTGTAATTGGTCAAGTAGAAAACATCTTTGAAACCAAGCCATTATGCCCAGTTTCTCTCTCTCTCTCTCTCTCTCACACACACACACACACACACACACACACACACAAGCCTACTCAGAGGTCTCTCTCAAACTAGAAATGACAGTTCAGGGTCAATACTCTAAAACAGAATACTGTAGTATGTCCCTGAAAAATGTGACTTGAATTAATCTCCTTCCCTCATTTCAGAAGTGTTCACAATAAGTTAGTTTATATATAAACACTGAGAGCTGATCTTATTTCTAAAATTCTGTATATACTTAGAACTATAACATAGATCTTCTACAAAACATCTGTGTTCATGTACAACATGGGATTTCACACACCCTCATGTAATTATAGGCACAAAAAAACTCTTCCAAATGTTTGTCTTACATAAACCTAACTAAAGTAATACTAACTGGAAGCTGCAAAAATGTATTTCACAGTTCGCTTGATACACAGCTGCACATTTACTCCTTCTTATTAGTTTACTAAAAGAATGTCAGCATAAATGCAGAACTAGTGAGATGTCAAGTGGGTAACACCTAGAGTAAGCAAATCAAGCCACAACGCACAACGTATTATTCTGATTTTCCTCCTATTGTTTGTATCCCAGCCAGTAACACATGTCCATTTTTGTTAGTAATAGTTAGAGAATAATAAGTAGTTTTTACCTCATCCTCTGAATCTCCCAACTTTCCAAGGTCAAGGCATGGAACTCTAGAAAATCAGAAAGTAGGAAATGGTGCAAGGTCTGAAAGCTTTCTCTAATTTTTAGACACCAACAGATGTCTTCCTTTGACGTACCGTAGTTCATTGCTTTTCAAAATGACCTAATCCTAAACAACAGCAACAATTAAAGAAAGTCAGAAGTTGACGTACCTACTTTTCAAAAGGATTCTGAGTATTCTGTGAGATATATAGAATACCACATTTTTGTTCCAAAATCAGAAATGCTTTAGCCAGCACAAAGTAGTTCTTCATTCTTTGTTAGGGAAGCAAACATTGAAAATCTTACCTTTCTTAATAAATGGATAGCAATTAAATGTATTGTATTAACAATAGTCACATACACCATCCAATAATCTCTTTGAACTGGAATCCTAAACATAATGAAAATGGTAAATATTCTGACCTTCCAGTTACATCAAAAATAGGTATGCATCACACATGCAAGATTTAGAATAAAGTATTCAGTCTTTTATTAGTCTATATCAGCAATGGTGAACCTATGGCACTTGTGACACAGCTGGCACACAGAGCCCTCTCTGTGGGCACACGAGCCATAAGTCACCATCAAGAAATACTTACCTATTCTCTGATCCCAGATTTTGGCACTCCCCTCTGCTGGTGTAGTGGTCCAGCGGAGGGGTACAATGGTGACCATTACCAATCTAGCCCAATGGGGGATTGGAGAACTGGTAAGTATTTCTTTGTTAATACTGCCCATAGGAAAAAAACACACAACTGCAGGAGCAGTTGTTTTTTCAAAACTAAAACATCAGTATTTGGGTTTTAATTGCAGTGCTGGCACTTTGAAATAAATAAGTTGATTCTGTATTGCAGTTTGGGCACTCAGGCTCAAAAAGGTTCACCATTACTGGTCTATATCATCTGGCATAATGTAGGTCCCAGAAAAGCAGACTTTGAAATTATCAATTAATTTAAATACTGAAAGCCGTATTTAGTATAATGGGCAAATTGTAGCTCAAGGGTTGAATCTCAAGACCATTTTTTGAGCTTGCACCTCAAATACAAAAGTTGGCTTACGTATAGCCTATTGTGCCCCCCAGAAGCCTTAAGAGAACATGAATGGTCATTTCAGGGATTTGAGGAAGAGACCAGGTTAATTAATTAATTAATTAATTAATTAATTAATTAATTAATTAACTAACTAACTAACTAACTAACTAACTAACTAACTAACTAACTAACTAACTAACTAACTAACTAAATAACTAACTAACTTACTTACTTACTTACTTACTTACTTACTTACTTACTTACTTACTTACTTACTTACTTATTTATTTATTTATTTAAACGGCCCTAGGGGGACATTTTTCGAAACCAATACTGACATTTTCAAAACAAGAAATGACTCCAAAATCATTTCCAGTTTTGAAAACAAAATCCTGCATCATTCTATGATGAAAATGGCCAAGTGTGTTTCCTAGAAGCATAACAAGCCATTTTTAGGCTAAATCTGGGTGAGCGGCAAATATTGTAGATGCAACATTGTGGAGTCCCAATCCAAATTCCAATGTAAAATGTGAACTTTCAGGTGCGGGTTTTTTTTAAATGAATCCCTGATACAATGTTATGAAGCAAATTAGACATTCCACTAACATGTGCAAGCAGACATATACTCAATTGTCACAATCCTCTCCATTTAAATGACTGCAGAAGGGCAATCTTTTAAAACCCCTCCCAGCAGGCTCTCCTTCATATGACTGGTTGGGCGCAGACTGCAAATTTGGGCACATGTCTCATTATGCAAATAATTCTACAAATGACAGCTTACTAAAAGAATGCTGCACAACTGTCCCTGGATGTGTGGTATTTGTTAAAAGGATTTTTAGCTTAATAATGTCCCTTGCTAATGTGTTTAAGAAAATATTACAAAGCAATTAAGACTATGTATAAAAATAAAAACACAGACCTAATAATGCATTAAACAAAACTTAAGAGTAGTTTTGTATTTTGAAGCTCGGACTCCCTCATCTAAGGTGGCCACTCAGCACACCTTCTCTATCCTTCTCTACTGCCCAAATGATAACCCTCTTCAAATCCCTGCACCAAGTATAGGGTTGCCATTTAAGTTAATGAATAAGGACACCTTCTAATGGATTATCTCTATCACCAACTCTGGCAAATAGCTTGCATTACTTTTACACAAATATTTTAACACTCCCCCAGCTAAGGGCTGAATTCACACTGCCTTTTACTTAAAAATAAGAATGCATTTGGTGAAATACAGCCTTGTTGACTAGTGAAACTACATAAACCATATGTTACAGCACTGAGAAGTAGTATATGTGGGTACAACAAGCTTGTGACACCCATCTAAAAGATAATAAACAGGGTTTATAAACCAAAACCTAAAGGAATAGAAAAGTTCAAATGAAGGTAAAAGTAAAATATACAGTAACAATGTTTCAATCAGTTCTTCAGCCTACAAAGCCTTCACTAGTCTTCTTTAAAACTTAAAACAGTTTAAGTACTTTATACAAATAGATTAGCAAGTTTTGATATAAGTTCTAAGAAGACAACTTTTTTTAATTCACAACCACTATAGCTCCAATTCTAACTGACAACTCTAACTAGTTCTGACCTAATGCAAGCTTTTTTACACACACATAAATACACACACTAACATACAAAGCAGAATTTCTCCAGCCAGGAACCAACCAGAATAATCAGCTCATAGTTCTATTCATGAATATTATTTCACTTCTCAACTATCATAACTACTGTTCCTAGCACACATCTGTTTGTACAAATATCAATGAACTCTAGTCACTTATCATACAAGCCAACACAAACCTGTATAACTAAACAGCTGCACCACCTTTGCCTGATATGCAAGTTCTTGAGTGAGTTAGCTTCCAATTAGGAACAGATCAGATTGGCTTCTGGAAAATAAGTACTTGTGGACTGGCCACACGACCACACAGCCATTCTATGATTGCATGGCAATCATTCTATCCAAGTGCACAAGAAACACTAAAAATTCCCAAAGTGCCTACTAGCCTAAAAAAATTGGGGTGTCTCCTGTAAAGGGAGCAGTTCCAAAAATAAGAATTAGCTGGAAGACAAATAAAACTTTTGAATTTGATCCAACTGAGTTTGGCATTTAGATGACCTTTAATATTAACTGCACAGTCTCACAATAATATTGCACATCAATATATTTGAAAAATAATATGCAAGCAATAGATGTTAGGGGAGTATAAAGAAAGAAACTTATCCAAGGATTGATCTCCTCAAGATCTGGAGAAAACAAAGGGCTATGAAACAATTGTGGAGAAAAATCACAGATATACCGTGCTTCCCCGAAAATAAGACAGGGTCTTATTATATTAATTTTTGCTCCAAAAAAACGCATAAGGGCTTATTTTCAGGGGATGTTTTATTTTACAGTCCTGTCATCTTCTAGTTGCTGCATAATGCTGCACAATGGTGGAGGGCGGGATTTCACTTAACTAGGGCTCATTTTTTGGGTAGGGCTTATATTACGAGCATCCTGAAAAATCATACTAGGGCTTATTTTCAGGTTAGGTCTTATTTTCGGGGTAACAGGGTAATACCCGCAATTTCAGCAGACAAATGGTCTGCTGAATATTGAACAATATTCAGTTATGAAGAAAAACAAATGTAATCATTAGTTTATACATTTACAGAAGTGAAAATAGTATGGTATTTGCAAAATGAGGGTGGGGATATATATGCCAACAAGAGAATACAGTGGTGCCTCACATAGCGACGTTAATCCGTGCAACAAAAATCGCTGCTAAGCGATTTTGTCGCTATGCGATTTTAAAAAGCCCATAGAAACGCATTAAAACCTGTTTAATGTGTTCCTATGGGCTAAAAACTGACCTTAAAGGGAAGATCCTCCATACGGCGGCCATTTTCGCTGCCTCTTAAGCGAGGAATCCATGCGCGAACACAGCGGGCGGCCATTTTGGAACAGCCAATCAGCTGTTAAAAATCATTGCTTTGCGATGATCAGTAAGCGAAACAGGGAACCGATCATCGCAAAGCGAACAAACTCAATAGGAAACATCGTAAAGCGATCGCTTTTGCAATCACAAAAAGTTTGTCACTATGCGGTTTCATCGCTAAATGGAGCGCCTGTTAAGTGAGGCACCACTGTACTGGCTTCCAAAAAATCTGGCACAGCACTTAATATACGGAATATTAAAGCAACTCTTTGAACTTAAGTGGGGAATGTTTCACAACCATTTATAGACAGATTAAGATATTTTCTAGATTTATGAAAGTACCTTATAGAAACAATGCCATAAGTCAACAGGATATCTCAGATATTATATTTCCGCAAAGGTTCTTTTTCTCTCTCGTTCCTCTAAGTTACAAGTTCAAAACCATATTGATAATGAAAAAGCAATTCTTGGTCTTTTTTTTGTTTTAGTGTTTGAACATATATAATTTTTTAGATTTATACATGCTTTCTGTGGGGTGGGGGGAAATGAAACATAGGCTTACTCTGCTGGTCGGGGACCATGACTTGATTTTGTACGTGGTCTCCAGCCCTAGAACAGAACACACAACCATGTTTTTTGCCAGATCTGTCCATACCATAGCTAAATTCTGAACACTAAGTAAGGAGCACAACTCTTTTAAATAAGAGTTAACTTTGTATCTTTTAACAAGAGGCACAGGATGGTGACATCACATTTATTATAAATAACAATGTACAATTTTGAGAAACGCCGTTGGTTTGAAAGAAGGGATTTTTTGAAGAGTGAAACTAAGCATTTTTAAAAGGTTTCTTTCCCTTCTTGAAAATGTTATTATACAGTAAAGTACTTTTCAGAACACAATGACCAAAATCCTCTAGTGAAACTACAGTGATAAAAGAGCAATAGCATGACTCAAATCAACAAACAGCTGCTAATTAAAAATCCTCCACTTGAGTTCCTTATTGCATACCATGCTGGTAGTTTGGCATGTGAACAGGAATCCAGAATGGGATTCATTATTTAGCAACAATTTCCTGCTGCAATTGACGCCACTGCCATTCTCTCAGTGTAACTACACAACAGGTTTTTGGTTAGCAGAATAAAGTAGAGTGAGCTACTTGAAATCATATTGTAATTGGGGATTCTTTTGTAAGGCAAGCATCACAGCACAAGAAAAAATTATGGTTACTTGTAGCTATCCTGCCTTTTTTTTCTTCTTTGACTGCCTTTCTGCAGTAACAACAGAAGATAAGAGGGTGGAATATCTTGGGAGGATTAAAAGTTGAGGACAATGACATGAAGGCTTCATGGCTTGGATATTGGTGCAATAAAAGCCTACGTAGAAGCACTCTGAACCTTGTCCACAACTCAATCAGTGTATTTCCATATAAGGGGTAGAAGAAACCTTTTTCTGTTGAGTGACACATACCCTCAAAGATAATCTGTCTTTGAGGGTATGTGTCACATAGTGAATGGGGAGAATGATCCACAAGTGGTTAGCATCACCTCTCCCTTTCACATTGTTCTCTCTCACTCCCAGCAGGCTACCAGCACAAAGACAGATCAGCCTCCTACCCCAGGGTAAAACAGTATGAAAGGAAATTTATTTTCATTTTTAGAATTTATTATTAATCTTTAATTTTAAACTTACTTGAGTGTTTTTATTTTCCCTTGACGACAGAGGTGCTTGCCTTCGTGGAGATGCTGCAACTCCTTTAACCTCCAAATCCATCTGAATTGGTATCAATTTGGCAACACAGCATAAAATAAAAGAAAGGATACAATTCTTGGACAAACAGGAAAAAATTATCAAATACTATTTACTCAACAATTATTTTCCCCTGATAGCATTTTCCAAAACTGTTTAGCAGTTACCTGTCCAACATATTACAGCTCTAATACAGCTCATTTTTAACTCTACCAGAAATGTTTTCTAGTATTTCATAGTCTCTCGAGACTGAAGGATGCCTACTAGTAATCTGAAAAGATCCTCCTGATGGTGTTTTGTTGCACAGCACTTTTAATGCAATGGCATATACAATGTGGAATACTCTTCCCTTTGATATTAAATATGCTCTATTTTTAAAAAAAATTCAGATGCATGTTGAAGACTTCCTTATTTTTGCAAGCCTTTCCAGTGTAGTTCCATCTATAATGTACTTTAGAAGTAATTTAAATGTTTTATGTATTCGTGAAGGCTTTCACGGCCAGGATCTAATGGTTGTTGTGGGTTTTTCGGGCTCTTTGGCCGTGTTTTGAAGGTTGTTCTTCCTAATGTTTTATCTTAATACAATGTATTGTTTCTATCCCAAGTGGTGATGATGATTCAAAAACACGAGGCACAGTCAAAATTATAAAAACATTAAGTGATATTATATGACAGATACAGGTTTTAACCAAAAACCTAAGAATCTCTTAAATATCTGCACAGTTTGTATGCTGTTCCTAATATTGCTGTTTATTGTTGCTGTTGTTGTTGTTATCATCACCCAATCTGATATTTTCAAGCGTGAGCTGCTTTGGAATATATGTATTTAAAACATATACATAAATTCAGTGATATATAGTCAACAAAAAGACCAAAGCAGTGCCAGTTACTACTGTACTTCAGAACAGGCAAGCTGCAGCATCCAGATGGGATAAAGGAAGATTATGAGAATTTAAAGGGGTTTTTAAACAGGCAAGATTGGAAAATGAGATACACTCTTCTCTATATATCTACAGTTCTGACTTGGCTTTCTTTTTCAACAGTCTGAAGAAGACTATGAGGATAATCAGCATTATTCCTCATGTTCATTATGCAGGCAGAGGAATGAATGTGTGCATGCACACAGAAGTCAACTAAAAGACTTACCTTTGTTACAGCAGCTGTTTCTGTACCAGAATTATACTTGTGGATATACTCCAAAGAAATACCATTAATAATGGTGGTATTTCACTTGCAATACATGTATGTGTATGTATGTATCTGTGTGCATGCTAAGGACAAACAGTTAACTAAGGCAGTATTTCTTATGGGGTCAGCTTCTGGAAGCAGAAGAACTGGTGCTTTGGAGACCCAATTTCATATCAGGATCAAATGCTTAATGTGACAGATGACACTGCCAACTTCATCCAAAACTTCACAGAACCAGAAACACCAGTGGCAAGAACACAGACTATTAGCAAAATCCAGCATTACAGTAGGACTCCTGTATCCACAGGATCAGTATCCACTGATTCACTTAACTATGACCCATAAATATTAAAAATATTTTTTAAATCCCCAGAAATGTATATTTTGAATGATGAAGCTACCAGTGCTGGCTACTAGAGGGAACCAGAGATCGTGCTATGTATAGTCTTCACTAGCAAAATATATTTCGATGATGCCTCAGGTCCGTTCAAGGAGAAAAGTGGGATACAAATATTTTAAATGACTACGTTACCAGAACTGGCCACTAGAGGAAGTCAAAGACCATGCTATGTAAAGCATTTGGTATTAAAAATAGTGTTTGCTATAATCCACGTTTTCAGCATTCATTGGGGGGATGGTTTGGAACTGATCCCCCATGGATATGAGGGTCCTACTACAATCCTACCTAGAGAAGACCCAATTAAAGTAATAGAACTTACATTTGTTGTGATTAACATCCCATTCACTTAAAGGTTGATAAATGTTCATAGAACTAACGTTTGATTTAGTTCTGAATCTATTAACAGTGAAGGAGCTGTTGTAATAGTTCAAGGAAATCAAATCATCCTGAATGTGTTACCCATTCATGTGGGCCACAATGCCTAGCATCCACAACCAAACGGTTGCTGAGAGGAGTTATAGTCCAACATATCTAAAGGCCAACATGATTGGGAAGACTTGTACTGTGTTTCAGAATCACTACTTATATGACTCTTCTTTTTAAACTTTTTGTCTTTCTGCTAACATGGGAACATCCCATACTGATCTATGGAAGTTATGAAAACAGTTCTTTTCATCAAATGGTCATAGACAATCTTTTTTACAAACTAATTCTGAAAATTCAAATGTATTATTATTCTATTGTTACTGTGTGGGTTGTTGTTGTTGTTGTCTGCTTATCATGATATCTAACATCTTGTGTGGATTTTTCTCAAAAATGTATTTTAGGGATAATTAATTACATTTACCATTTCTTGTGAAACTGCTGTAAGACTGCCTGTGGGCAGCAAAGATATTAACTGAACTGCAGGAGAACAGAAGACAGAATACTTTCAAGTATTAGTCACTGAAAGTAAATGATGAGCCATACCTTCCACAATCCTGAGCATATTCATTAAAACAAAAAAACAAAAACGCATTGCATTTACTTGGCATTAAGCAATGCAACTAAACGTTACTTTTGGATAAAGATCTCATAAGCATACTTTGGTCTATTCCAGTATCATAAACCTGAGGGCAGGGGCAGAGAAGACCAGCTAGTGCATTATTCAGCGCCGCTGCATTCACACCTCCCCTCCCCAATACAATCATACATAAATTCCTGCTGTACTAGAAACCCTCTATCAACCAAGGCTTTGTAGCAAGATAAACATATCTGTAGCCTTCACAAATAATGGTGAACAAGGTACTTTTTCCTCCCTTAAACCTCTGAATGCTAGTCCAGTGTGTGATGGAAATGCGCTCTGCAAACATTCAAAGATCCTCCTTCTTTCGCTCCCGCTTGCTTTTATAAATAATCACGAATATTCTGACCTGTGCAATGGCTGAACCCCAAAGGAGAGACCTGCACCTGCCTGCCTGCTTTCCCCAGTGATTACGGTGAAACTTCCAGGGTGGCCGCCTTGTGAGTCTGGTCCAGCAAAAACAACAAAGGAGTCCAGCGAGGGACCCTTTAAAGGCTAACCACTATCCTCTTGC